ATCGCTAACTACTCAACCATAAATATTTATGCATGAAGAACAAATAAATGATTTGTAACAACCAACGAAAGTAAAACATGATTATGTTGATCAAAATATGTCCATAATTCGAATTTCCAAAACCAATACATATCCTGCGGGTTATACATTAGTGAATTGATTCATCGAATGCGAAATAAAAAAAAACTCTTTGCAAAGATTCGGTATTAATTGAAGTGAGCGATCCACTAACCAGAATAGCAAATTTAGGCTGGCTTGACATCTTTTGTAAACATTTCTAGCCAGGTCTTTTTTTGTAAAAGAACTGCAATGATTTATCCATAAGAGATCCAAGGATTTTAATTTTTTAATGACTTATTTACATTTCTTTTGTTTATACATTTTTTTATTAACGATAATAAAATAAATTACCTACCATTTCTCAACTGATTATTTTACAGTATTTATCAAAATAAACAATTTTTTTATAATACTTTCTCTAAGATATAATAGGTTTATTTTTAATTTTTCCTCTCCTACTTTAAATAGATATGTCATCATGCGTAGAGTTCGAAGATTTGTAGCTGTAAATAAATGCTTTAGTCATATCCAAGGAAATATTATCTTTATACTGTTGGAATTTATTAATAATATAAAATATATTATTCCTTAAGTTGTAATAAAAAGTCAGGGCATAAATTTGTATCAATAACTAATGTTATACAGTATTTTTTTTTTGTTTACAGTATTACAGTTCTTTTACAAAAAAATAACTGGCTAGAAATGTTTACAAAAAATGTCGAACCAGCCTAAATATGCTATTCTGGTTAGTGAGTGGATCGCTCTCTTAAATTAAAACCGAATCTTTCCGAAGAGTTTTTTTTTTTTTTTTTTGTTTATTCCTATTAAAGTTGGCAACGGTTTTGGGATTCCGTCGATTCATTCAAAACAAAACCATAAAAAACAAAAAGTAAAATGTACCTTTATTCACTTACAAAACTTTTCTTTAAACAAGTATCTTTTATTAAACAAAAACCTCCATTATTTAAACAAATAAAATTCAACAGAAAAATGTGCACAAAGGAAAATGATAAATTCAAAAATATGTACAATGGTATTATGAGTTCTTGCCAGTTCTAATAATTTACAAAAAAAAAAATTAACAATACTTGTAGTATGATCATACATTCTACCAATCACGCAATTAGCTATTACATTATATTGTATTTAAATATGAATGTTTTTCTATTTATTTCTATTACTTATAATTTATTTAATTTTGCTACGAATTTCTGTATTTCATTTAATTTTAACTCTTAGTTACATTTCCTTGTTTATTATTGTTTTTGCCTTTGTTATATAGATTTTTATATTTTTTTATTTATTTACTTATTTATTTTTTTTTTTTTATGTGTTGTATATATGGTATGAATGTGCCTCTCTCAGCCTTAATACTCAGTGCCCTTAAGTGTGGCAAAATGTATTATTACTCAAACAGATAAAAGATAAAGCTATTACAAATTAATAAAAATCGTTTGATAGTACCACCGAATCTCTAAAAATACGTCTCCATGAAAATTCAAATATAACCGTTATATTCTCCTCTTGATGCAAACAGGAGCATAAAAATAATGAAGTTTTTCTGGACGGTTGTAATTGTGAGGTCAGAACCATAAAACAGGATTTGTTTGTATGTATTTGCACATCCCTTTTTATTTATTTATTTTTTTTTTTATTTTCATTTACTCCATTTGCTTTACTACTGCTAGATGAGTCTCAGGAAGTTCGTCAATTTATTTTGAGAACTGATATAACACTGCACGCTCCGAAAATCTTGTGCACCCGTTGCATCTTTGAAAAATATAATACGAATCCCTGATAATATATGTTGAATCAATATCTCATAAAAATATGATAATGACGTGAACTTATGCTGTATGCATAAAGCGAACATAGAGGCATTAGTATCATCATGGAGACAATCGTAACAGGACGAGGCCAGAAAATCCTCATTCCGATCCTAACTCTGGGCTATAATAAAACCTCCATTATTGGGTCCAAATCAAAACATCCGGGCGTTTATGGACCATATCGATGACATAAATCTGCTCCGACCACCAGATTGGATTAGGAGAGATACTAGGGAAAATCAATGTGTTTTGCCGCAATGGCTTTTCCTTAACACACTACATTTTAACAGCTTGTCGAAAAAATAAAAACCTAAACTACCTTTTTCTTTATAAACCAATAAAATATATATTGTGTTTATAAAAATGATGAATAAATAATACAAATGCTTGTAAATTTAGTTGGAGTCAATGCGATCTTTAAAAATATAAATTAACATGACGTCATATTGTTTTATCCAACGTTACAGCTCATAATCTTTAGATCAACATCAGCGATAGCTAGTAACAAGAAATAAATATATAAAATAAACAAAAGAAAACCAAAGATAGCTACAAAGAGATAAAAATAACAATAGGAAGGAAATCTTGTAGCTAAAATTTAATCATACCTACTTCAAGATCAAATAATTATTATTCGAGTTCTATATTTTTTATAGAAACGTACCTCCTCATGAACAAAATTTAGACCTAAAAAATTTCCTTGTTGAATGATGACATTGCATTGATAGGCTTTGGGAGAAACTATAATTGAAAATAATGTTTCTAGGCATTCAGGTAAAGAAACAAATATAACGGTTTTTATTCAATTTGGAAATTTTTACATTTATAGTAAAACACAATTATCTCATGGTATATTGTTTTAAATACGTTTCAAAACACCTTATAATTGTTCTGTTAGTAAGAAAAAAAAACTACCTTAAATTAATTTTAAAACTAATAAATCTATTTGTTGAAAAATTTTACAAATGTATACAAGGCATATATTGTAAATGTGCTCTTCATTGGTAAACTTCCCCACTGGGAATTAGGTGAACACTTGATTGGAGGAACCTCTCACTAAAAGCACTCCTAATAGTCCGTATTACAGACAGTTTTTTATGAAATTATTAACATCCGCCTGAAACTTCATAAATATCTTCTTCTCATCGTAACCTGCAACTATTTTATTTACGAAATCTTTTGGAATGGGGGCGTTTTTAATCTGGAAGTCGGCAAACTTTATCTACTTAATTAGGTAATCGAAAATCGTAATTAACTGTTTGATTTTAAGATAATTTGAGCATAAAATTGAGGTGGCCTTTAAAAATATAGTGCCGTTTGGCGTGATCTGTACCCTCAACATGTCATAATAACGAAGTTATATAAGCCAATCGGCCTAATATTATTGTAGGCCACTTTTTTTTCTCGATTTAGTGGAAAGCATCTTACGATCAAAGTTGAAATCCAATGGGTAATTACGAGTTTTTAGTACCTAATTAAGTAGAAAAATCTCCATTCCATCCACAGATTGAAAGAGTCCAAATTACGAGAATATTCGTGAATAAAATAGTTCTTGGTTACGATGAGATGAAGCTATTAACGAAGTTTCAGGCTGATGTTAATAATTTGATAAAAAGCGGTCTGTACCTCGAACCATAACCTGATGCCCTTCTCAATGTAGCAGATCCTTGCTCCAGAGACGTTTCTGTCACCTTGTGGGATTCTGAGATAATGTCTATGTTAGTAATGTTTGTACAAGTGGATTAGTATGTTTAATAAGTGATTCTTGGAAATTTTTGTATTTCGTCAATCACCAGAAAGTGATTTATTAGTTGCGTGGAAGGGACAATGAGTGAACACAACATATAATTGGAAATAGTTGTGAATTTCTATTTCCTGCTGAACTGTACGCAATCATGATGTTAAACGTTTCTTTTAAAAAATAAACAAACTGTGCCAATAAATACGCTACAAAAGGATGAAATATGTAGGCAAAGTGCTTTCTAATATTCGGATAGGTGATTGACAAACAATGAGCCAGGTTATAAAATATAGTTGAAGAGTACAAAACCTTAAGAGAAAAATGTCGTAGAGAAAGGTTAATGACTCTTATGTCATAGGACGAGCTGTGATTTGAGGGTAGCTCTGGCTGTTAATGTGTAATTTGTACCTTGTGCGTGGCTGGGATCTGGGCACGCTACACAGGTATAATGGGGATTGTTTCAGATAGTATCTTCCTGGTCGATCCCTATGAAATATTCATTGCCTCAGTAGCATCCCTACCGATTTATGTACACTTTGTGACATCCACTTCTAATAACCTCAAGCCGTTTTCTTCTATCGCTCCTATGTTCTCCTCAACCGAATATCATAAAGGATAAGCCGATAGAAAGTTTACCAACATCATTTTGAAGGAACGTTCTGTAAAACTGATGTGATCCAATTGTGACCATCGGATGTTAAAGTGAGGAGCTTATTTGAGTTGCTGAGGGCAATTTTTTCATTTAATACAGGTAACTCATAAATGCATAATTATGATTTTTTTAAACATTTAAAATATTACTTGAAACATTATCAGGGGCATGAGAAATCCACTTTTAGCAAACCAAAAAAATTCGATCATCATTATTCTACTATACAATACCATTCTTAACGAATCCTTTAATTATTAAAAATGATCTAAGCTAATATAATGTAAACTATTGTGATATAATTCAATAATGACAAATATTTGAAAATAAATAAGTAGTCAGGGCTAGAAAGAACAAAACAAAAAATTAGATTAGAGCAAGTTAATATTGATAACAATATATGGAGATATGAATTACTAAATACCATAAAGAGGATGGTCGATTCAGTTAATCATGATTTTATGGCACTTAATAATTTCTTATCTGACTTTATTGTTACCAGTTTCAACTTACTTAATTACATAGTTCCTTTGTTTTATAAATATCCTTAATACTTTTTGTTTGCTCAAGATTAATTATTTTATTAATATCTTTATCTTAATATCTTATAACTCTCATATTATGCCCGTTTTGAATCTTGTTCTTTCTAGCCGCGATGAAGACCAGCATAGTTGCATCAAAACATAGACTTAAAAAGTAGTTTATTAATTTATTTACTTACCATTTCTTTTCCAAACTATCAACAAATGAGTATCCTAAAATAAAAGAGTTTTTTAGAAAATACTTTTAGTTCTTTACGAAAAAAGTAGAAGAAAGAATCCTTCAAATCTAGAATTCTGTTTAATGTTTTATACATCAACCTAGTTCTTGTGTCAGTCCGTCTGTCTGTAGTGAAAGATATATACATCATATACATGTATAAATGTATATAAATAAAAATAAAAACAAAACAATAAGTTTTCATGATGTATGTGTCAGGATATTTTTGAGCTTTTTTCGCATACAGAAAACACCACTGTAAGAAATTAATCTGTGCACTTTACAAAAGATCTTTGAGACCTTACGCCATAAAATCCCTAAAAGCTATCAACACATTTCTAAGACCGTATGAAAATAATTATTTCCATAATAGTTAAAATACTATGAAAATAATTTATTATTTATTTATTACATAAATGTTTCATGATTACCAACAGTAAAAAAAGAACGAGTTCATGCGGCGCCACTGCGTTAAAATTAGTGTTGCCCAAAATCGGTCTTGGTCTTCCACTTTGCTATATTTGACAATTTTGGTTACTGTTTGTATAATTCTGGTATAACCATTATACTTTTGCATTTAACTCTTAATTAACTTTTAATTTTTCATTCGGGCTAAGTTAGGTTTCTCCTTTTTAAAAAAATACAGTAATATCTCTATTGTATTAAGCTAATAGGTAACTGCAAGTCCAAGACCTAGACCAACACTGAGTTTGCAAAACCAAGACTCGTCTTGGTCTGTCATTTGGTCAACACTATTGGGCAACAATAATTAAAATCCGACTTAAAGACTATCACCTCATAATAAATTATGTAAAAATAAGCCTTTAAAAAATATTGTTTGTGACTTGATTGATCAATAAGGGCTAAGGCTCAAAAAAATAATTTAAGATTTAAACGTTTTGCATTTATTTTTTATTTTTTTACATTCTTCTTCAAAATATTAATTAAATTAATAATTATATATTTTTTCTAATATCTGAAGATATCTTTATTTTAAATTAAATGTTAATTAGATTGAGTAATCAACACTGTGAAGGTTTAAATATTTAATTTGAAAGAATGCATTAATCTGCATTTAATGCTACCAGATCTCTTACTGATCATTAAGGCAACATCTTGAACAAGTTTTTAAAAAAAATCTCTAACAATTCAAACAACTTAAACTTTACAAAACTTGATTCATGAAATTTGAAAATAGATTGAATCAATCCGTTCATTCCGCTCATATCACTACAACACATTTACTAAACGTTCAACTAATGGACAAAAAGAAAATTTGACATACTCTGCTATCATTCTAGCCCCTTAATATATCAAAAGGGTTAATATTTTACCTAAGAGTACACACGTGTAAGATTTTTTTTTTAACTCTCTACATGAGCTGTTCAAAGAGAATATTTATTTTCTAAGTTGCTCAGCTTAGCTCTAAAATAAAAGGTACAAAGAAATTCAAATAAATAAAAAAACCCAAAGAACCTTCTTAAGACGTTCCAGTTGTGTGACGGGGAGATAGGCGTTAATAAGGATAATAATAACTGACAGTTTAAGTAGCCTTGGCTAACAAAAACTTAATATTTTTCCTCACCTGGCCCTGAATGAAGCTAGCTTATATCTACATATCCTACTGCCCCTATCTAATCAACGCCACTCAAAGCAGCAGTCACCCAACCTCCTACTTCCACGCTTTTAACGTTCTTTTATATTACAGGTTATTAAAACTGTTTAGACATGTTTCTGATTAGTGTTACAAGTTCTGTAAAAGGCACCAAAACTAACTAATAATCGCTTCATGCATAATGAAACTCTCATACATAATCTATTATAACATATAAATATGTTTGAGCTGCCTACCGAAAATTCGGTCCATAGGAGCTGTTTCAGCGAAAGAAATATTCATCATAATGCGCAAACTGACTTACAAGGAGAGCATACAGTCTGTGGGTCACCGATTTCAACCAAATATTTTTTGGTGATACTTAATCGAAAATTTTGAACACGTGTCCTAGCGTTCTTTCCAATGCGCCGTAGAAGCCGAGAAAAAAAATTATACAATTAAAAACGAAATTTATATTATTTATTTTTGGCGTTGCTTTGCTCGAATTTTTAGGTTACTATACATCATTTTCGTTTAGGACAGGGTAATAAAAGAACATTAACTATTGTATTAAATGAGTTATAATGTATCATAAGTAACAAAAACCAAAAGGTGCTTCCAGTAAATTAGGCCAAGTGTTATAAAAAGCAAATTAGACTCCTTTTTAGGAATTATTATATAAATTAAAAAATCCTTTTTCCGTCCGTCAACTAAAGCTTTCATAACTCCTCAGTATTTATTTCAAATTCAACTTTAATATATATCCACTGCAAAGCTGAATTAATGCTCTTCTAACCGATACCAATAACTTTTTGTTTTAATTTTTTCTTCAAGCTATAAATTAATAAAAACTTTTAACCCGTTTTTATTTTAAATCTTTAGTTTAAATTTGTTTGCTGAGGTCGGGTTTATACTATTTCGTGTAGCACACATATGTCAAAATAATTATTATTTTTCATGTAGATCGGTGAAGCTGTTCCAAAGTTATCACAAGTTTGGTGGTTATTGATAAAATTAAGAAGGATCCAGCCTATGCAAACATTTCGAGGACAAAATTTTAATTTTCCGATTGCTTTAAAAAAATTTTATTTAAGGGTTTTTTAAGCTGCTAAAAACGAATATGAACTTTGTTTCTCCCTTAAAAATGATTTAACCCCACATTGCTACATCGGTTGGTTCAAATTGTGCCGTACTGTAGCTATCTGCCAAATATATTAGTTATTAAAAAAAACGTTCTGATATCTAGAGTAAATAATTTATTTTTCCATAATTTGTTTAATGTTTTACTACTAGAAGACCCCATTCCATTGTTTTTAAAAATTGTCAATTTTATTTTTCATTCATACTTATATAAATACTTATAATAAAATGTACTTTTATTTTATTTTAAATTATGAACGATTCTTCATTCAATTCAGTAAAGCATAACATAGAACAAAAATAATTTTTTTCACTCATTTCTCTATAAGCATAAACTCTATATTCTAGTGAATAACATTTAATTTATAAAAAAACAGCTTTATAAGAGGAAATTCCTGGGATATATTTGCATTTACATATTATCACAACAATTGTTAATAATATAATTGAAAACTGAAGAGCATAACGAACATGGGAACAAGAAGTAACTATTATTCCAGACATGGAATTGCTATTCATCCTCTAAGTGAATTCACCTTCCTCTATTTCCTATTCAAGAGATTTTTTTTTTTTTTTTAAGTACAATTTTATCTCAAGCTGACCGAGTGTATTTCCTCTCAATTGTTGAATGACATAAGTAATACGTATATATAATGAAGAGGAAAAAATAGCTTCAGTTATTTTTAGCCTCTGCTTTATCTTATGGATCTTGCAGCATATCAAGTTCAGGGTCTAAGGCTAATTAATTATAATCGCGTAATTTAATTTATCAGAGTTACTGAAATGAAGATAAATATAAAAATACAGTATTGCTATTACTTCTTATATTATTTGATGTTCAATAATTCACTTAAGGAAGAGATTAATGTTATTTTAGGTATAATGTATGAACATTTTTCTCTTCTAATTATACCTAAAATAACAATAAACTCTTCATTGAGAAAATTATTAAACATCAAATAATATAAGAAGAAATTTTCAATATGGACCTGGACATATGCGAAGAATGAAAGAGGAATTCAGGAGCAATTTAAGTGGAGTGTTAGAACATCAATTACGAAAGACAGGTCTTTGAAGATGGGCAAAGAGTCCGAAACGTTGGACGGATAAATAAATAACATGTGGACGGAATGGCCAAACGGGCTAACGTGTGTGCACAGCACCGCCGTTGCCCGGCAACCTGATCCCTGATCTATGAGACAATGGATATAAAATAGTCACGAGTTCGCGTCCCGGTGCCGGGAAGTCTTTTAAATTCCCGCCCACACCACCTGGCCCGAGAAAACTCCGTATAGTTTTAAAGGCAAGAAAGGGGAGGAATCCCCCCCCTCTCCGCCCCCCCCAAAAAAAAAATAACGGAAAATAACAATTTTCATAAATTACACCTAAAACTAATGTTTTTTTTTTAAATATTATTTTTCATAAATATACCTTTGTAATCGACAAAGAAAAAAAAGAAAACCCCTCTCAAAATTAGAGGTTTACGTTTCAAGATAAGCAGAATTCGAAATTTGATTTTAAAAAAAACCACCATTCATCACACAGAATAATCAAAATCATTTGAGATTTGGTATTACTGTCAGCGGTTGCCCGAGGATGATCCTTGGAACACATTGCCATCCGCCCTTTCGTTTCAAAATGGCGGCCGAAAAATTGTGTCGCTGTAGTCTGTAGTTGTAACGATTTCAATAAAACTTGACATAAGACTACTTCTTGAAACCTCTTAAAGTTATGCAATATAAAATTGTGTATACAATATACCTTCCCGAAAAGAAGCTAAAAAAAAATTACGATACAAGTTAAGTTTTATTTACAAATTGTAAACTTGTTGATTAATTGTGAACGAAATTTAAAAAAACAAAACAATCTAATCTGACGATTTGATGGATAGATATAGCGTTCTAAAAGTTTCGCACATCTACTGTGTACAACCAATCTCCTTGATTTTAGTAATTGATCATTGGAAAATTTTACATCTATAGAAGCAATCAAGATAATTGTACATATATCTTAATAAATATTAGTAAATATTTATAATATTATTTCTCCCGTAGTGCTAAGAAAAGTAGCGTGATGTGGACATAAAATACATCATTATTTGAAAATAATAAACCTTTGGTCAACGGAACGAGTAGAACAAAACTCGTGACATAAGCTAAATTTCGAAATATCTAATGACATTAAAATGTGAAGGTTTTTTAAAAAAAGAAATAAATCTAGACTTGTTAAGTTATTTATTTTCTGATTTAAATTTTTTATATTAATAAATTTTCAGAACTTTGACAATTGGAATAACCAAATGAATTTTACTTGGAAAAAGCACTACACCAAATTTTAGTAAAGTTTTACGAGAATGGGATTTCCAAACATTTCGTCCCATCACGGACCTCTATTGAGAATAGTAATATTTTAACATAATTATTCATATGTATGCAAAGTATATAATTTTCATAATTTCCTTAGTTGTATTAACATATTTTGTTAATTTAAAAAGGTGTAATTATTATTGAAATTTGAAAAAAAAAATTATTGTAATAAAAAAAGATGCAAGAAATTTTCCCTTAATTATGAGAAAATCACTTGCATATTTTTTTTTTTTTTTTTCACAAACCGATATATCATTTCATGAAAATATTATTTTTTAGAAAATCTACCTATTGTTTAGCAAAAACATTATTTTTTTAATAAACTGAAATATTGTTAAATTGAATACGACAGTTTAATTAAAGTATAGAGTAGGGGTTTCAGTGCTATAAATTATAGGATTATTATGCCCGTAGTAATATTGAATAAAATATTAAAGCATTTGAGTTGAAATAAATCATAATATATTGTTTTGTTTGTTTTTTTTAGTATATAATTAATTATAGAAATTGACTAAATATACCTTTGTCGGGTTAAGTTAAATTTGTAATCAGTACATAAGAGTATTTTTATTTATATATTTATATTTATGTTATCTATTTTTAAAAATGACAACGATTGCAGAAGATTTCAGTTTCAAGTTTATCATATTCTTATTTTTTTTTACTTTTTATTTAGACTTGATTGATATGATATAAGTTATGGTTAAAACAGAAACTAAAAAAAAATAACGAAAACAAAATTTACCATACTCCTACGTGCGATTCAGTACGACAAATAAAATAGAATAAGATTATGATTTTTATAAGAAAAAAACTGGATGAAAAACACATGTTAAGAGAATCGAGCGTTTGGCACCACTGTTCATTGTGTGTGCTTTTATTTATTTTTTTTTTTTTAAATGCCATATATATATATATATATATATATATATATATATATATATAATTTCTTGAGGCAAGTATAATATGTAGCTGCTCCCTATGCTCATGTCGTACCTTCGACAGGCTAGCATTAAGTGCTGTGTCGCATTGCCAGGGTGGTCCCAATCAAAGGACCTTTTTTTTCCAATTGTCAGCACGGAAGACATCCTCAACCACCTGCCCTCTCCAAGGGACCTCGGCTTAAATACTGTAATTATCGAGGCTGATTTCATCCAAACCAACATCATTAGCTTATTAAATACATCAAATACTCGATTATTAGGTAACCGATAATGATGAAAAAAAGAATAATAATGATAACTTTGGAGTGTTTTTTGACAACGCAAGCTAATTTTGGGTAAACATATTAAGGCCTTGGTAATATAAAATACTTATCTGTGTAACATTCCAGGGGAACATAAATTATTCACTAGGTAAATTGTAGTATATATTATGAGCAATGATTATTAGCTGAATAAGGCATAGAAAGTGTTTATTAAAAATAATATACAACGGAGTTGACTCGTGCGAGTAATTCGGGCAGTCGATGTATTCGTTATTAAAAAGATGTTAAAATGAAATGGTAATAAGTAAATGAAATATATTATGAGAGAGAGGATTTTTGATTTTTTTTTTTTCGGTCGCTCACAAACATTTATTATTGAATTAAACCAAAACTTGAGTGGCTTCGTATCAAAGACGAACATCTGTAATTTTTAAAAAGTTGAGAAAAAGCTAATTTTTGTAATATTTGTAATATCAATTTAAACCAATTATAGTGATTTTTTTTTCATGATTTAACTTGAACATTCTTAAATAAAATCATCAGAAACAGTTTAGATTGAACCTATAAAACCAAAATTAACTTTTCCTCCACTTTCTGAGAATGATAGATGTCCATTTTTAATATTAATCTAGTCATATGAAGAAACTTCAATAGGCTGTATCTTTACTAATAACGGTCTGATTTAAATGATTTTTTTTTCGTATTGTAGGGAACAGAAGGACCTTTCAAATTTCTAAAATCATCCATCGATTCTATGATGTGATTGTATACATTTTCCGTTAACTCCACATAAAGATAGTCTTCAAGATTATGACTCAACCGTTGTGTTTGAACATATAACACAAAGATAAATAAGATCTCAGAGATATAATATATAATCGTTTAGAATATACAATACACGGAAATTATACAGTAGTATTTTGTGATAACTTTAGAAACATTATGCCTCATTTAATTTCGTCTTACGAAAATATGCAAACCTTAACATTAAATTAATTTTAATTTTATAACAATTGTTTTCGTTTTCTTTTGGGGTAGAGGGTTGTTTCTAAAATAACATTTTTATCATTATCCAATATAATAAAATAAAAATAAAAACACTATTAAATCATCTCCCATTCTCTTTATTATCCCAAAGATTCCTTTAAAACGAATAAGATTCCGATATTTCGTTTAATTAAAAATGAACTCATCGAATTCAGTTCAATAGTTTCAGAACCGAAAAAGGTTCCAAGCAAAAATAAAAACTTACATTAAATACAATGATAATTTATTCTCAATGTAATGAAATATGAACATTGCAAATAAATATCAAGGTTGCCAAAAGATGTGTTCCCCTGTAGCTGATCCCAAAAAAAAATAATTTGGTCCGAGTTTTCAGTGAAAGAAGTCATTTGGGTATATATATTTTCTATTTTCAAAAATATGTAGAAAATAAATATTGTGCCTCGTAATAATCATTATTAACGTTGTTTAATCAAATTATTTATTTTCACAATATCAAACTAAATATTTATACTTTAGCCGAGTAGGTACTAATCATTTTTAAAGTTATTGAAAGCAGAAATTTTACTCGGACGTTAATTAAATTATCCATATTGAATAAATGTATCTTGAATATACAATTTTAAAATTAACAAAGAAAATATGTTTTGTGGTGAATTATAAAGACACACCAACGCTCCAAGTTGAGCTTGAGGGAAACCATGACCTTCAAGCCAGGTTTAATAATATACAATTACAACCTAATTCAGTAAGAAAAATTCTATAAGTTTTCTATCCGAATCTAATAATTAGTTTAGAAAAATCAATAAAAAAACAGGAGACAGTAATCGAGAAAAGTATATATAATAATATAGACAACTATATAATAATTAATTTTGTGGGATATTCCTCTGAGTTTATAATAAATCATTTCACTTTTTTTTTTTTTTTCTCTTTTGGAAGATCTTTTTTTTTTTTAATTATTTCTAAATAGTATCCAGTGATTTTGAAAAATCTTTTTGATGAAAATCAACCTGAGCTTAAGTTTATACCTTGGTTTGCATAAGTAAAATTTTGTTGAAAATTTAACTAAATAAAAGAGTAGAAACTTGTGGACTCAACTTTTATATGCAGCCAGTACGTAAGTTACGTCATCAAATCTTTTAATTGGTTACATCTCTTTCAGACTAAAGTTTTCAATTAGGAGTTTCTTAGTTCATTCAGTGTATTTACAGAGCTGTTACGAGGCCTCTTGTAAACGACATCATGCAGACTGCTGAGTCTGCTAGTCCAACTAGTCCACCTTAAGATGTTCATGTCTTAGGATAATACCAATCTACACTGAAGTTCATTAATAATATCAGAGTCCATAATTACATTACTAAGGACTAGTTTCTAAGGCCTAATAATAAATGTGTGGTTTACCAAACATATGTTTTATTAAATTAATAAAGAACCTGTTTGGGTGAAATACAAAAAAAAAATTATGGAGGTGAGGGAGGGGTGTATATGAAAAGGGCCTTGCATTGGGACACAACCATCCTTAGCTGGGCAACTGTTGTATACACGTTGCGCTTCTAATATTATATTATTTTAAAATTAGGAAATGGAACGTACAGACTAATATTTCAAAAACGATTTATTATCTAACATAGATAACTTCATTATTTTGTTGAAATTTGACTGTATTTATACACAGTACTTCAGCAGAATACGAGGGAATATTATTTCAGATCCGAAAACTTTTAATATCTAATTATTACCCAGTTTGCTAATTTTAAAAACTACTACGAAACAATGCCTTCATTGTTAAGTGATCCAAAGAAATGAACTATCTAAATTCTTTTCAGGAAGCAATTCTGTTACTGATACCTTGTACCTTAATGATAACAACAACTATGATAATGACAATACCTAAATTATTGTTATCGACAGGAATAATTATTCTAAATGACACTTGTACACGCCACTGATATGAGTCCTTAGGGTAACAATAGTAACAACAATCACGTTGTTAGTCTCAACTAAAAATAAATAAAAATATTATATTGAAATAAATAAAAATAAATATAATAATGAAATAAATAAAAAGAAGTATAAGAACGAAATAAATATAAGAATGATATAATAAATAAATAAATTTTATAAAAACTTAAGTCCGTGAGGATGCCGTCAATAGACACTTACTACATATTGTAACGTTTATTGTACAATCCTACTACAATACGTAGTAAGTGTTTATTGATCGCAGTCCTGACCAACTTCTTAAATTAGAACAATGGTCAACTATTTCTATATCAATAGTGAACTATTTACGATAATTATTCTATTAAATAATATGGAACTGAATGAATTTCAGGATATATATTTGCATAAGTTGCATTCTACATATATTTTTGTCTCATCTCTTTTAGATCAGTCGGAGATTTTTTATTTTCGTAAAAGAAAACCACTGGAGTGTTTCAAAAGGAATTCTTGTAGTGCGTTTCAGTTTTTCGGTGGCTATTTTTTTTTTATAATAATAATTACTTTGCAGAACAAGCAAGAAAAGATGATAAATGCTGTTTGAGTGATCTTGAAGGCCTTTTAAAAAAATAACAAAATAAACGTAATTACAAGAATGATTTTAGAGGTAATTCATTTTTGAATTTTCTCTTAACACGTGGTTTCATTTAATAGCTCATTCACACTTTATTTAAAAATATATAAAATAAAAAGAACTAAGATTCAATTTGAGATTTGTGCTCTTACCTACTTGTTAGAATTGTAAGGGCGGTTCATATTTTATCTTAAAAATCACATAATCCAAGCCAAAGAACATTAATTTGACTATTGTTTAAATGGTTTATCGCAAAATATTACCACGTAGATTTTTCATAGAGCTGAACTCCTAAGAACAGTTTTGTGAATTTCGACCTTATTAATCGATAAAAAAGTCATTAAGGGCACTAAAATGACACAAAATATTTTCATATAATCAAGCATAGGTACAAAAAACATGATTTTCCGATTTCACAAACGAAAAATTCATCAAAGTTCTTAGTGATTCAAGATTATCAAATGTCATTTAATGACTTTTCACACTTAAAGACCGGGTAATGCTCCATAGTTCAAAACAAATTCAGTAATGACAATTTATACTTCATTATCATAGTGTAACTGTTATCAATATCATCAAGGTCACATGGAAAAAAAAATTGACATTTGCATATTTGAATATGCTACGAGATGTCTAAATCAATTTATATATATAATTAAGTTGTCAGTTTCTGACAAACCTTCAAGGAGGTTGAATAGAAAGTAGTTTGGATATCTCCTAACATAAAACAGTCATTGGGGTACCAGCATTGGTTAGTTTATTCACAAACAAATGAAGGATGAGCAGTATTGACAATTATAAATCTCAATAAAATTTTTAAAAAATATAAGTAGTTGATTTAGTAAATTTATTAAATTTTTAAAAAACACAATATGAAGTATTTATCAAAGGTATATGCATTATAATCTAAAAAGAGAATATACTGCTATTGTTTAGGTATTGGTTGAGATCATGAATAGAAGGCCCCCCACATGCAAGTCTTTTCTCCTACACACTCTCCATTGAACCTGCTAGGGCATATTTTTATATTATCATGTTATTATGATGTATGTTTTGACACCAATAAAAATAATATTTCCTTTTCTGTAAATTTTTATTTTTATTTTATAAGACTTTTATTTGGAAGACTGTGATCACCAACTATCTATGATATTTATAACTTTGGGGGTTACCAGATTTTTTAACAACAAAAGTAACACCATATAAAATCTACTGAAGTTAACTCTTAGCTTATCAAATAGTATGAAATCATCTGGAAAAATAAAAATCTAGGACGAGAATTTTTTTTTTAGTTTACTTTCAAATTTACTTTTAATTTATTTGTAGCCTCTATTGTGGATATTTTTCAACATCTAATTAAGTAAGCTGGCCTGTGATAGGGATGGAAAATAAAATCGGAATGCAATAATCATTAATTAATAACATAAATAATTCTTATTAATATTTAAATAAAAATATGGTATTATTCGGATCATTAGCCTTCCTCCTTCTAGTAAATTAGTTTTATTAGACAGAAACATGGAGCCAATGGATTCAACAAAAGAACTTCCACGTCATGGAAACACTAATAAGATACAAATTAACCAATTATCTTTCGTCACGTGATGTAAACCTTCGTTAGTTGTATCACATGTCCCTGTTGGCTCATTATCCTCAACAGCCCCATCCCGAAACAATTTCCTTTTTAGTATAATTTACAAAAACGTTTTTTTAATTATTTTTTAATCTGAATAAGTGAAAAGCGAATCGGTTTTGTTTTCTGTTACCATCTATTTTGTGAGCGTTCAAAATAATCTGTAAGAACATGCAACCTTGAAATTTGGAATTTTGAGCATAATTATTTATAAATATAAATTACATTAGAGTGTTATTAGTTAATAATATCGGAGATCAGTTATCAGTTAATATTTATAAAATTAAAAATCAATCGATATTAGTTATTCAATGTCTGATTTATTGTGCATAATAGTTATGACCTACATTAGGTAATACTCTTGGTAAGTACTTAATATTATTTTTTAAAAAATGTAATTAACTACTTAATTTTATACTAATTTTAATTTTTAATAGTTTTTATTGATATTTATAGTACATTAAAACATTTTGTGCGATTAATACTGTATATCATTCATTGGCTTGTGAAGAAACTAGCCAATGCTGGTACCCCAATGATAGTTTTATGTTAAGAGATGTCAAAACTACTTTCTTTTCAGACTTCTCGAAGACTAATCAGAACCTGACAATTTCATATGTCTATATGAAATATATGTGATATGTCTAAATTAATGTCTATTAATTTAGACATCTCACAGCATATTCAAATATGTAAATGTAATTTTTTTTTCCATGTAACCTTGATGATAGTGATGACAGTTACACCGTGATAGTGAAGGATAAATGCTCATTACTGTATTTGTTTTGCATTATGAATAATTACCCGGTCTCTATTTATTATAAAGTCGGTTTGTTGAAAAGTCATGAAGTGACATTTCATAATCTTGAATCACTAAGAACTTTGATGAATTTTTCCTTTACGAAATCGGAAAATTATTTTTTTGTTGTAACTATATTTAATATACAAAAATATTTTTGGTTTCATAATTCTAGTGCACTTAATATATTTTTTTTATCGATTAATAAGATCGAAAACTTTTTGCGATAAACCATTTCAACAAAAATAGTTAATTAATATATATATATTTAATCTTGTAGGTTAGGATTTCACTTTATTAGTAATGAAAAAAACACTTAAATAGATCACCACAGTCCTAACAAAAAATATGAAAGCTTTGTACATAAAAGAAAATATAGATAATACTGTTAATTTCAAAACTAATTTAGGGCAAATAGGTCAAAACTATGCAGAAATTAATTTAATTAATTAATTTAATGTAAAATTAATTTATAAATATATTGAAATGCACAAATAATAAGTTGGTGCTTGTTTAGATATATTTTTGAAAATAATTTATATTATATATTAATTTATATTATATATAATTAATTTATAGACAATTAGTCAATGGTGCAGTGACGGATTAACGCACAAGCAGATACAAAATTTCAAAAAAATGGTATCTTCAGTTTCAAAAAAATTTTTAAGTTTAGAAAATGAGCAATGGGGCTCCACTAAACCATCGAATTCCACTCGTATCGAATTCTTACAATCCAAAATCCTTCGTAAAATCCTCAATGCTCCCTACTTTGTTATAAATAAAACCATCCATGATGACCTTAATGTTTCTTATGTTTCAGATCTGGCCCAATCCAGATACCTGCCCTTCCATAATAAACTTCAGAATCATCCCAACCCTCTCGTTTCTAACCTTGCTTCCTCTTCAATTCCTGATAATCCTCCGAGACTTCTGAAAAGAAGATATCCCCGTGGTCTCCTAATGTAGACATATTATTAGAGTGCTACCATTGGCTAATTTTTCAACAAGTGTTTTCACGTCATTATATCCATATGTTCAAATTTACTAAATGTATTTCTTTAATACAGTTGTAAATATCATTAAGAAATAAAAATAAATAAATAAAAGGTTTAGGAAAACAGCACGACGATG